GGAATTTTTATTATTTTCTTTGAAAAGTATCGTAAAATTTCACTGAATAATAATTCTTTAATATTCACGTACCAATGCAATTTTTTATTTGCTGAGAAATATGCAATTGATAAAAGTACGTGCAAGATAAAAATGCAAAAGGTGCAGGAGTTACAATTTTTATATTGTCCAGTGTCTCAGTATTTTGATAAATAAAATGTGTATTCTTTCTTTTACATACATTTAATATGCTGTAGTTTTTAGATACTTAAATAATATTGTTTCTTATTTTTTTGACTTGTTTTCTTTTTTTTTCAAAGTCAGTTTCTTTTGTACTCACTTCCTTCTTGCGTGTATGTTTTAATTTTTAAATTATTTACACTGTGCTAATGTTACTTGTTCTCCTTTTGATTGCAGATTCTACTGGGACCTCTGCATGCTCTTCCTGCTGGTAGCTAATTTGATAATTTTGCCAGTCGCCATTAGTTTTTTCAATGACGACCTAAGCACTAGGTGGATAGCCTTCAACTGCCTTTCCGACACGATATTCCTCATAGACATTGTCGTCAACTTCAGGACAGGTGAGTCTGACTACTTGTAAATCTCCATACGACATTAAGACACCGGAAGTTTCATTTTGAGAAAGAAACGTAATTTAAAATAAAAATTAGAAATTGCAAATAACGAGAAGAGATCTGTAAGCTGTCACGAACGCTTAATATTGTAGTATAAACTTTAATTTAGTTAAAAGGGAAAAGAGAAAATATTGAGCGCTTAAATTCGTAGAGATTTCGTTAAAAAGGAAAAGAGGAAAAGTTGAGCACTCAAATTTGTCAAGATTCTGCTAAAAGGAAACACAGAAAAAATTGAGCGCCTGAATTCGTTAAAATTCCAGTTAACAAGAGAAAGAGAGAAACCTGAGCGCTTAAATTTGCCAAGTTTTTGTTCAAAGAATACAGAGAGAAAATTGGGTGCATAAATTTGTTAAAGTGAGAAAAAAAGAGGTAAAATTGAGCGTTTAAATTTCAAATAAGGTACCTCTATCTTTACCTAAACTTATGCATAAACATATCTCTCCTCGTGAGAACTGCACAGACGCGAGAGAAAAGGTCCGTGTTAACCTTTTAAAATACCCATGTTTAATTTTTCAAAGCACGTTTAAAATTGCACAGAGAGAGAGAGAGAGGGAGAAAGGGAAGAAAAGAACCAGCCTTAACTATAACATGCACACAACCGCCTGAAGTTACAAGTTGATAGAAAGAAGGGAGAAAAAGCCCCAGGAAGCCGAAGAATATTCTCTATCCCGGTCGCGTCGTCACATGGAAAAAAGTTTCTCGTTCCAATTGAACTCCGTCCGTTTGCTCGTTTAAAGCCTTATCTACGGTGTGTCGGTGCATTCAACTAAAAATCGTTCGATTTCGTGGATACAAAAAGACGCGACGAGAAGGCCTGCCCGGCCTTTTTGGCCTGGACGATCACGTCAGGGCTAATGGTAACCTCGTGTCCGCGGACGAGAGGGGATGGGAAGGAGGGATCAGAGGCGATGCAAAGTTTGCATTGTCGCGTGCACATCGGGAAAAGGACATCGAGGAAAGAATGGCCGACCTCGTTCCTCTCCTCTCCATGGCCTGGCTGGCTGGCTCGCTCTCATCAGGCCAACCCAAATCTCCGCTACTTCCCTCGGAACGACCAACGATTCGTTTAACTGTATCCTAGCATCCTCGTTTCTACGTAGACGATGTTTCAGAAACGCGTGGAAATTCGTGTCTCTGTTGGATAGATTAAGGGTGAGGTGGTTTTACGAGGCTTTGAAGACAATTAGCCTAACTATGGTGATTAACTGGTTTGCTTCCTTTTCTTTCTTTCTTTATTTATAGCATACATTATTTGTTACAACTGGAATTTTCCATCGATAATGGATCATCAACGATAATGGGAATTATTTCGATGATTGATCTATTTTTTTTTTTAATAAAATTATGATTGTACCCTAAAGTCGGAGAGAATGCACTTCTACGCCTGATAGTTAGCTTGAGAGCGAAGAAATTAAATAAGGCCTGAAGGTGTAGGTAGAACAAATAAAAATTGATCCCTTCGCAGTACAGATTAATGTTTATGATAAGCCTGTTGATGTTTATAAAGGGTTCGGTGAGATTCCTGCTTACGAATGTGACAGTGTCTGATAGAGGGCCGAGATATTCATAAATTAAAGTGCGTTATTTACAATGCTTCAGTAGGATTTGTGGCAGGAATTTAGACTGTCTGTGGCTAAAAGGAGTGTTTATGAGAATGGGCAATTTAGACGACTAACAATTGCCCAGTGACTCGAAGTCGTGTAACTGTTGGGTGTCACAGAATTGATTGTTTGGAAGAAAGCATGGGCAAATTTATGGATGGCAAGCAACCGTAGAAAAAGTTTCAAAATAATGGTTAATTTTTTTTTTTGGAATAAATTGAAAATACATCTCAAAAATATGCTTGAGAATTTGGAAATAATTTTATTTGAGAATTATGGGACGACTAACAATTGCCCAGTGACTCGAAGTCGTGTAACTGTTGGGTGTCACAGAATTGATTGTTTGGAAGAAAGCATGGGCAAATTTATGGATGGCAAGCAACCGTAGAAAAAGTTTCAAAATAATGGTTAATTTTTTTTTTTGGAATAAATTGAAAATACATCTCAAAAATATGCTTGAGAATTTGGAAATAATTTTATTTCAGAATTATTGAAATAATTTGCAGAACACACGAGATTAGTTCCAATTGCAATGTTCTAATAGATTTTAAAGAGCGAGACCAGTTCGAGAGTGTCAAAGCATCGATTTATTCTTTGCATAAATTAAAATTACAACATCTGAAAGATACGATTCTACAGTATTAAGGACGAATTTGTAAAAACAAAGAAGTTAGGAGCATACTTGTTTTCACAGAAAATTGGTGTGGAATGAAACAATAGAAAAAAGTGCCATTTGCACAAGAAACAAAATTATTAAGAAGACACTGCGAAACTTTCTGTTCCCGATGGACTCTGTAGTATCATTATTTACAATCTTCAGACGTCCCACCATTTACATCAATTGTACAAACGGAAGTTTCAAAACGTTATTCAAAAGTTTAGATCCGTCACAGATGGCCTAAAGCGGTAAACTTCCCGTGCAGATGTTTGCAAGTTGGAGTATCCCAGAGAATTCATCTTTATGCTTGGAGGCATGAGAAAGACCTCAAGGTTACCAAGCATTCCTTTAAAAAAAGAAAAGAAAAGAAAAATCGTTTCATTCTAGAAAGGAGGATGTTAAAAAATGGCCAATTTTGGCATGCGGCCGGAACGAAAAATGTTTTTACAGCATGATTCTACGCATCCTGAGGAACAAAAAATGTAATTGTCATTTTCTGGGAGATTTCAAAGTCAATTTAATTTTTTTAAATGGAATGCTATATTTTTTTATACATAAAAAACTAACTAACTAAAAACGACTATTAGAGAAATTCTCTTCCTCTGAAGAAGTTACTATGAAGTAAAGCTAGCACATAGTTAAAAAGTATAAATTAATTACGTGCATTTATACCTACCAATATACCTGTTCAATTTTAAATTATTGAAAACTTCTTTCTATGGGTATTCCCTCTACATGTCCTCCATTATTGTACTCGTTGAACTCGTCTTAACTATCGTCACGATAGGGATACAATAAAAAAATTAGACTCTAACAGAATTTGCATTTCTTAACTGTGTATCCGGTGATTTCATTTCTCCACTAATTTTTTTTCCGTACTTTTTTCACTCGCACGAGAGTTTTGTCAAGAATACGAAATTGCTTCGTGTTTGCACAGCAACTGTTTATTCGAGTCGTAACTCTCAGAGAGTTGAACGATGTTCTCAGACGCAGTGTCCACCCGCGAGAGCAACTCGCGATAGTTTTACTCTCAAAAGGACAGTGTAACGGTTTGAATTTAAAAGAGGCGCGTCTTTTCACCGTAATCGGCGTGCATCCGCCGAGCGGCGTTGGGAGCGGCGACCGCGCATGCGTCGAGCGAAAAACAGTATGGCGTATTGTATTGTATTAAGACCATGTGCGTGGCGTTTGTTTTCGGTTTTGCGGCCGAGGCTCGCGTTTCTTATGTTCGGCTCGCAAGAAATATCACGAGTTCTAAGAAGTTCAGGCCTAGAATTATTCCCAGAACAGTTGCGAGCGTACAGCGATTAGAAATCGGGCAGGACGACACGTCCTCAGTCGGTGTTTACGAGGCTGTCGAACGAGTGCCTCAACGAACGTCGCTTATACTGCGCGATTGTAGTCTTGTAGGGAATACATCGAACAACGCGTTTTCGATTATACGCGGATTTCCAATCAATTTACGTACTTAGCATATTCGTTCGTGTGAATTAAGTGCCGCTGCATACAAGAAGCTTGTGCACCGAATTCAAGTACACAACGAACAGCTCAGCTTGGGAGAAAAATTAAACGAGTAGCGTGTCTCTGCGAGCTACCCAGCTACAGTTTTACGGTACGTGTTTGCGTGAATAATATGTATGTATATATATGTACACAATCGAATGATTGAGTTAAAATAGAGGAGAGCCTACGTATAGCTAATTAGATCAATTACTGCAACAATTTCGGAGAGAAAAATTAAACGAGTAGCGTGTCTCTGCGAGCTACCCAGCTACAGTTTTACGGTATGTGTTTGCGTGAATAATATGTATGTATATATACGTACACAATCGAATAATTGAGTTAAAATAGAGGAGAGCCTACGTATAGCTAATTAGATCAATTACTGCAACAATTTCGTTTTATCGTATCCTAAGTTTATTTTTCTTGCAATAAGATGTGTTATAGCTGTGAAACAACAACAAATTAGTTTTTTTACTGTTGTCTCCCCGAGACATATACATACTATCCTTTTCTGGAAAAACACTGTCTCTTAGTAAACAACTAAATCTTTACACACGACCTACTGCGTTCGTTATTATTCAAACGACAATATACGACAATTGACATGCAGTGCAAATGATCAGACTTCAGTTTTCCGTAAAACCGGGGACTTTTATCACTTCGATAATAAATAACTATTGGTTTCTGATTGCTTCGAATATAAGCATCGTGTCATCAAAGAATTCCTTGTTTCGATTAATTTGTCATTAATTATTTTTCATTATTTTTTTCAAACAATCTTTTTAAATAATACTCGATATGAGTTTCTAAGTGGTTAATTTTCGGACCATCGTCCGAAGGAAACGAGTCGGAATATAAGTATGGTCATACTCTTACGTTGAACCGCATTTTTTATAACTTTCCCATCATTTCCGGGAAAAATGACAATTACATTTTTCGCTCCTTAGAATCACGCGTAGAATGCGTAGAAGTATGCCAAAATTGGCCTTTTTTTAACATCCTCCTTTTAGAGACAGCCAAACTGTCGTTAACGAAGTTCATCCGCAAATAATCTAAATTTTAATTAACAGGAAAATTCTCCTCCAGCAAAGAGAACCTTCGAGGTGCATATTTCAGCTTGGAATTTTCATCGTTTCTTCAAACGTCGTTTTCCACTTGGTCACGATTAGGTAATATTGTTGCGAGAGAGGCTTTTGAATGGAAGTCTGCCTTTGAGATAGCGTCGGTGTCACCGCCTCGAGAAAGCTCCGGGGAACTTTGAAAAGAAGGAACTTCTAATTGTTGACATTAAAGGGAAGGCGGTGAAAGGGAACGGAACAAAAGCGCGAAACCCGGAAAATCGTGGCTTTCATGCGAGTCGATTACATTTTTATGAAGTTACCATTTCGATACGGGACCGGTAGATTCAATTTCATCTCGTCAAAGGTTGCTCTTCGTTGACTAGAAATAGTTTCCCAAAAGGTTAATTATCGCGAAGGAAATTGTTCGTTAATTGAATTCGACGAACTTACCAGTTGATATAGCGGAGAAATCTGATAAGAAGATTCGATCCTGTTACGCGGTTGGTGAATGATATTGAAGTTTCGATTTTCTTTCGTAATTGTTTAGAATTACGCGATAGAAGGAATTCGTAGAAGCGTCGTATCGTTTGTGAGTAAACTGATTTTATTTGTGAGAGAGATTTAAAGGTTCGAGAAAATTGCTATTCTTTAGAGAATAGACAATGAAGAGAGATACTTTGTTTCATCTACGCAGGTGAATTCATGGGTAACAGTTAAAGGAGAAGAAGCAGTCAATTTTTGTCGTTTAAACTAGTTTTTTTTTTTTTTTGTTATTCTGAGTCCTGGTTTAACTCGCTCTAGCATTTGTGACAGGAATCTTTATCAATACGTTCAGTAATTATTTATACGTATTTTTATATGCATAAAAACATGTTTTAGACAAATGTTGCATGGTGTTAAGGGGGACACATTTTTTTATATCAAGAATGATCAACCTTTATGTCAAGATTTTGCTTCTTTATGTCTACCAATGTTATTATGTTTACATTTATTTTCAAATTAATATTCGAGCAATAAAAATAGCAATGAAAAAATTGTTTTTCTTTAGCAATTTAACTAACAGTTTTTGGAATTTTCGGGCTCTCTAATAAAATATTGTTTATCTGTGTAACTTGCTATTAAAACAGGGTTAAAATATCCCTATTTTAAATTGTCACATTAATATAACTAAATAGTCTAATTTTAATTTTAATTTTAGTGACGCTCTTTAAAAAACAGGTGTTAAAATGGCCCTATTTTGAAACGTAACATTATTCTCGTTAAACAATGTAACTTTAATTCTAACCTTTCAGATAAATATAGCTCACTTTTGCTATGTTACTCTTCGCAAATATCCCAAAATTAACAATTTTCGTGATAGCCACTCTCCCGGCAAATTAACGATACCTAAAGTCTTCAAAAATAGTCTACACATAACGATGCGTGATATAATCAACGATTAAACAAACATCTCACGGAAAAACAATACCCAGCTGACACTTTCCCAACGAAGTAGAAACCAATTACTCAACCTAATAATTCACCGCGAACCATCAAACGGAAACCTGTTTCTCCGTTCTGAAAACCACCGACAGAAGTGATACATCAACAGCTTTCCCGAATATACGTACATATATACACATCTTCCGCAATTATTAAATCTAGAAGGGGGTAGGGACGTCGCAATAATAACGTTGCTTGACACGCGGCAGCCCGGCAAGCTTCAGACGTTTCGTTATTGCCGGGGGATTAATTTGAAACGCGTTCTCGAGTTCGGGTCCCAGGAACGGTGGGGAAATTGGGTCACGTGCCGTGCCCGATGAAAGCCATTGTACGCGTTAAACCGTGTACGTGGGCCGCGTCGATTCGCGATTGTTGCGAATTCTTGATCCAGATTATCGGCCGTCGACCAATATTACGTACCGCGTGCCGCATACTAACGCCCTGGACAGGCGCCCACCGGCCGAGAGTCGATCGAGGATGAAATATTTGGATGCTAATGAGGCGGTCGCTTCCGGGAAAGACTAAGTGCCCGCGTCAGAGTAGCCAGAATCTGGCGGGGGAGGGTTCGATTCGATTATTTCCATGCTGTCACGTTTTCTATCGACCTGTTCAACGGTTGAAATCGGAGCAAGACTGCTAATTCGCGCGTCGATGCAAATAGGCACTCCTGCACTCTTTAAGGGTTGCTAGGGATTGGGTTTATGACATGGACGCCTGTTTACGCTATTTTCAAATGCGCCCTTTTTTTCTTCGCGTTAATTAATTTTTCTCTCAAATTGGCCACGGAGCCCAGGAAGCGTTTTATGGCTGCAGAAAAATAAATTTTCCGCGGGCCATGTACCTTCCCGGTGCCCACTCGTGAACATTCAATAGACACTGACATGTCATGAAACCTCTCGCGTCTCCCTGACCGCCCAAAGTCCCGTTACGCGTGAGCTACCCCTTGGGCCTCACTCCCTCGCCATCGCGACATACCGCCACCCTGCCAACTTGGAAATTCCAGGGTGGGCGGCATGCTCACGGGCCAGGGAAAACCGTCCAAGGGGGTAGACCCGTTCCCATTGGCGGAGACCACCACCTTATGCTCATACAGCTTTTTATAAATAAGCGCACCAACGCGGCGCACAAGACCCTGCCAACTTGGAAATTCCAGGGTGGGCGGCATGCTCGCGGGCCAGGGAAAACCGTCCAAGGGGGTAGACCCGTTCCCATTAGCGGAGACCACCACCTTATGCTCATACAGCTTTTTATAAATAAGCGCACCAACGCGGCGCACAACAGAGATCAAAAAGGGAAAATAGACACACACCACATAAACTACCACTCTTCAAAATAAAGTCTTTTCCTTTTAACATAATAAAATACGTGCAACCTCTAAGTCACCACGACTTCATACCAGCAAGCAACCCGCACCACGAACCAGCGACAATCCTGCGCCACCACTCTCGAACATAGCACTTGATCGAGGCGATTGTTTTCTTTAAAAAAATTGCCGAAGTTAGGTATCCTTGTGTAACCTTTGACCTGTCCGAACAGTAGCGCTTCTTTGAGAATTTACTTTGAAGTAACTGTGACCCTTTTGGGAAAACAGTTTCAGGTGGATGGTAGTGGCATAGTGAAGAGTGTATAGAATTTTTTTTTTAAAGAAAATGCTGAAATTGAAAGCAAACCAGGAATGATGAACAGGGTCTTGAAACCAAATTTTCTGGATGGAATATCAAATGAAACTAAATTGTCCATGGACTAACGTAAGATTTTTGGTTTAAACGAGAGTATTTCAAAGTAAAAATTCGATTTTTACACGAATTTTCCACGAAAAATCCACGTAAGGAATCGTAAATTAATGATTTTAACAACCTTCGCGGAAATTTTTAGAGATTGTTCCAGCGGAAAATTAATCTTCTGCGAATGTTTGCTGTGAGATCCGTGTTTGTTCTAAAATATCGTTCATCTGTGAGGTATTTCAGATTTATGAAGGTGAAGTTAGCATTTATGAAACGTGGGTAATCAGAAAGTAGCTGTAATAACAAATAATGAAAGTTATTAGAAAATACTAATAGTAACGAAAGATTGAAGATCAGTTAGAAAACTCAAGTTCTTCGATGCACAGAGGGAGAATTTGCTATTTTCCTTCTGGCTGAGTGACAACGTATTCAAACCTTGCAACCAAACTAGTAGCCCAGATGTATAATGATTTTCAATCTTGGAGAGGTTGAGAAAATCGATGGCAAGACGAGAAACTGAGAGAAATAGTTCTCTGCTGGCAAATGTGAGAGATGTCACATAATAAACTTGAGGGTACCAACATGCAGTTGCATGTACGCTCTATGAACTGTGTATGTATGTACATATATAGCGAACTATCTCTCTTGATCCGACCATCAAAGGAGACATTATTGATCCCTCTAGTTGTGTTACCTCGTGTTACTTTTCTCTCGGTGTGTGTATCTATTTCTAAAGATTCGTTTATTATAATGAAAATGTAATTAACAACTCTTCCAAGTGATAGGAATTTTTAAAGAATATTTAATATACCTGTGTAAATATACAAGGAAAATATGATTTTCCTGTTAAAAGAAATTAGAAAATGTGCAATTTCGCATTGAGAGAATTTTAAAAGTTTGCGATTTCTAATGGTATAACGTTAGGAGGAATTGAAAAATTTCCAATTTTGTAATAATTGAAGGAATTGAAAGTTTACAAATTCAAATTTTCATATCCGTCATGGTGGCTTTTTTTGAAATAATTCGAAATGTGTATCTTAGAAATTAAGAGGAAAGCATAGAATGAAATTTGACTGAATGTAAATTGAAATGTGTTTTCTAACAATTGGAAATATACGAAAAGAATGTAATTTTCATATTAAGAGGAATTGACAAATTTGCAGTTTGCAATTTTCATCTGTGTCATGGTGAATTTTTCAAAATCAAACGAAGGACGATACAATTTTCATATTCATAGAATTTAAACAGTTTGCGATTTCCAATGGTATAATATTAAGAGGAAGTGAAAAATTTCCAATTTTATAATAATAAAAGAATTTTGGAAGTTTCCAAATCCCAATTTTCACGTCTGTCGTGGCGGCTTTTTTGAAACAAATCGAAATGTGTACCTTGGAAATTAAGAGAAAAGCATGGAATGAAATTCGACTGAATAAAAATAAAAATTTGCCCTTTTCACTTTTGTTTCCAGGTATAATGCAACAGGATAACGCGGAACAAGTGATCCTGGACCCGAAGTTAATCGCGAAACACTACCTCAGGACTTGGTTCTTTCTCGACCTCATTTCCTCCATACCACTAGACTACATTTTCCTCATATTTAATCAAGTAAGTGCATATTAATTATCCTCGCCTTGGTCTACGTATCTCTTGCTTTAATTCGTTACCCGGAGTTGTGTTTTAGTTCCTCTGCAGGCTCGATTTATATAATTAATCTGTTTGTACGAACCTTGACGGGATATGCAGTCTTTCCAGATGCGTGAATGCATTATTAATCATGTGCATTATTTTACGAAATGTTTTCCTTCTCCGCGTGAAATTCATGTCGAAGCCTTTACATTCTTGCTTTCGTTCGTTCAAAATTAGTGGAAAATGAATGAAAATTAATTACCCAGATCATGCATCAATTAAGTCTAATAATTTCCAACGATCATTTCGCGATTCGCTAATGAATTCGTAATCGATCGTCGAACTTTCCGATTAATACAGCAATTAATTATTAATTGCTCAATTTAGCAGTACACTAATAACACAAATTAACACGATATACAACATTACAGTCAGTTTAATTCACGCGCGGAGAACGAGAGTGCTTTAATTCACAATCAAATGTAAAAAGTATCGCACTATAGATCACTAAAAAAATCGCAAAAACAGCGTGCGTTAAGTTGCAATTTCAGCGAAAGGGGTAAAACCGAATTAGTTCACCGTCCAGTTCGTTCAATATTCAAGATGAAACTTCTGCATTCACTTCGATCCTCCAAAGAAAAAATTTTTCCCCCCAATAGAATCACACTTTGGAACGTGTTACCTCACCGGTCCGCAAACTAAATCCTCCGATTCATCGTAACTTACGAACACGATCATCATCGCTCGATGAGCAAACATCCTGAAACCTAAATTCAGCTTACACCCCCTCTCGTTCTCCAGCCCGACGTGCAAATTCAATTCCACGCAGGCTTTAATAGGCCGCGTACAGTACTGTTCCCACGTGGATAATCGGTTCGATCCGTCAGTTTCAGGACTTTAGCGAGTCCTTCCAGATCCTGCATGCTGGCCGTGCTCTCAGGATCCTCAGGCTTGCGAAACTGTTGTCGCTCGTTAGGTTACTACGGTTGTCAAGACTGGTGCGGTATGTCTCGCAGTGGGAAGAGGTCTATGTGAGTGTTTAACCACTATTTCATTATATACAAGCACCGTTTCATTTATTTATTTATTCATTTTTTTTTTTTGTTTGAGTTTTTGGTATCTATCTATATATGCATATATATACATGCGTATATGTATATATATACCGTCATATAATATACCCACAGCTCGTGTGATCCTTGTACAAAAAAAAAAGATAAGAAAAAAACAAAAAATGAGAAGGAAAACCAAGCGTCTCGTCGTCGGTTTTTTTGTCAGTTTCAAAAAGTGACTGACTTTGTCTCTTGTTATATTCTATTTCTTTTTTTTTTTAATTCCTCACATACTACATATTATTTTATTGTTATTATTATTATTATATATATATACATATTTATATATTGAGCCTCTCTTGGCCGCGCTGTCTGTACAGCTTTGCGTCGCCGTTCATTGCAATGTTTCTGTTATTTTTTTTCTATCTGACGATCACGGGGCCTGGCTGTGGTCCTACCCCGTCCGTAATTATTTACTTCACGTACACTTTGAAATGTCAAAAAGAAAAGAAAAGAACAGACGGCGTCGATTATTGCTCCGCCATGATGGTCAGTTTTTGGAACTGTCTGCATTTACAGAGGTATTGCCGCGTTTTACCGCAGGGAATATATATATAGAAAGTACGAGAATATTGTATTAGCGTGTGTTCACCACGGGATGCTAAAAAAAAAAAGAGAGAAACCGGAGGTAAAAAAAAAAAAATAATAAGGAATAATAGAGAAAAGGAGCCAAAGTCCCACTGTGCTGGCGTTGTCTGTCCACACAGGGCAACGAGCTGATGTTTATACATACATGTGTATAGGTATATATATATTCTTATTGTGTGTGTACGTTTCGATAAGAGCAAGCAACAAAAAAAAAAAAAACGAGAAAAAAGAACGAACGAATAACATGAGCAAAAAAAAAAAAAACAAAAAAATAACGGATAAAGAAACGAGAAGCTCTCCACGCCAGTGGTGGATCTTTCGTTTGATTTACAAGGCACATGGATAGTCCTAGAAATTTTTTGCCAGTCGAGATTTTTCACGTGTTGGTCGAGGAAACGAGTTGTCACTCGACCAATTCGATTCGTTTCCACTGGTAGAATTTTGGTTCTCGTTTGGAACAAGTGTACGAGGCTCTCGAGTTTGTTTCGTTAGGCGACAGAGAGTACCAACAGAACGAGAACCGCGTCTCTCTCTAGCTCGTTCTTCCACCACTGCGGGGAATCCCTCGGAAGGCGAATTTGTTATAACACACACGCACACACATACACACGTTAAACATGTTTACACTTTTCTCGCTTTCAGTCTGCTCGATATGTATATTTATAAAGATTGACAGCGTACCCGCGGCTCTTACTCAATCCCGACTGTACTTCCAGCTTCTCTGCAACGAAAGTCTTCAAAAACCCCTCTGTGTGTCTCTCTCTGACGCGATTTACCACTCGTACACCGACCTGTTTACGCTCCCTTGCTCTCATAGCGATGGATATTCTATGTGATAATTCTGAATTTGTTTGGGGTTATGTTTGGTAGTTTATATCGATTTTAACGGTTGAATTGTTGGACAGATCTCGATGGAAATTGGGTGAGATTGAAAGTGTGTTCTACCTTCGAGAGACTGGAACGTGGAAATTGGAGGATTCGAGAATTAACGCGTTTGTGTAGAGCTGTGCCGTTCAGCTGGCCTTCTGGCGGGCAAGGGCGCCCGCCGATGCCCGCGGGCAGAGCTGAGGGCAAAGTCGCGGGCTAGTGATGTCACATACGTTAAAGCGGAGTGGGGAAAAAATGTTTGTGTTGCATATCTTGGAAACGTAATTCTGCTTCTTAAAACAGGCGATAATTATACCGTTGCCCGAGAAGGCGTGGCTTGTTGCCCGCGGATTTGTTTACGCCCGTACGCTGCCCGTGCGGGCAACGATTGAACGGCACTGATATAGAAGAACCAGCGCGAAATAAATTCGAGATAAATTCAGAAAAATGTCCGCTCAGTCTGCGAACTTGTAGCGATTATTTTCGCTCGTTTTCTTCGCCGCCGCTCTAACTTTCGCGACGTGAAAACAACGACAAACGTAGTAAAGAAAAGCACCGAATCCCGAGGAACTATCTATTTCGACACCATCGAAAAGCATCGAGGAACTATTTCATTTCGACACCAGTTCGCGAAAGAAAAAGCAATTCCGTTAAATACCCAAGAAAATTCCATACTTCCGCTTATCTGGACAGCAGACGTGTTATAATTGCCTCTCGTACAAGCTTGGAAAAGTTTCAAGGCTCCCGCTAAGACGACCAATTCAAGCAAGATCTCCCAGAACAATTTTCACGAGATCTATCAACCCGAAGAAACAACGTTAAAGAAACAATACTTCTACAATTACCTCGAACAACTCGCACGTAATATTAATCCATCGCTATGAGATTTCGGTGGAGAGCAACCATCTGATCGATCCTCCTTCTGTTTCTTTCTAATTTGTTTTCATGTTTCGTTCCGACCGGTATATTATACGGACACGAAATCTCTATACAAGCGGCAGAGGAAGTACAAAGGAAAAACAAACAAACAAACAAAAAAAAGAAGAAAAATTGAAAAAAGAAAGAAAGAGGAAATAACGAAATAATAAAATAAAAAGAAAGAACACACACGTGCATGAGAGCTGACGAGGGCAGGCCGTGAATCTCGATATATCGCGTGTATCGATGATATATTTCCATCGGCGACGGTTTTTCTCGAGTGTTTTTCCCGGTCGATAGGCGTTTTCTCGCGAGTGTTCCGCAAGCCGAGTGTGTCTCGTTAGGCGATAGGTAAGTAGTTTTCTCCTCGAGCGGAAGTCCTCTTGGCTCGATCTCTTCCGTGTACCCCCAGTGTATGTATGTGCAATCGTAATCTTCGTACACGAGCCGATTTTTCGAGCAATTGTCTCGAGTAGGTCTGGCGAGAGAGAATCATGTTCGAGCCAGCCGCACGATGGGAATTCGGATCGTTTTTGCCCCTGTGATAATGTAAAATGGGTCGAGGAAGCGTTCTCCAGTCGGTTCGATCGGATCTTGGTGTACACACGACACGGTATATATTTGTTCAGTGAGTTCTGTTTTCTGTTTTCAACTATTTGCATGCTACGCGAAACAATTCTGCTGTAACTTCGATCAAATTTCAATTAAAAAATTCTAACAAATCAGTTAACGAGAAATGAGAATTGTCTGTGAGTAGAAAATCGAAGGAAGAAGAAGAATACCAGTTACAGCAGAATTAATATTCGCGACGAGCCACCGAATTTAACACATTACGTACAAATCCCCCCCCAGTTCCATTTACAATCATCACACTGTAAGAGACAAGTGAGATAAAAGATGTTGCTGTACGAAATCGAAGTGATAAGACACACGTTACCTACCAAGAAGAATACCAAACTCTTCCACACTGATATCAAAGTGATCTGTATACCTTTTTCCAACAAATTGTGACGAGTAGACAAGGCAAAACTATGCAATGTTTCCGTACGTAATGGGTTAAGAGAAATGAAAAAGAGAACGGGGAAAAGAAAGAAATGCGAAGGTTGTTTATGTATTTTCAATTATCTCGTGGATGAAAAGGATGTGTCGAAGGATCTAGCCGGAGGATCTGCTCGAACTGTCACACACGTTTTTCAGTTTTCTTTTTTTGTTTTCCTTCTTTTTGTTACGTTTCTCCAGAGAGCACACGTCTCGGTAATTTTTGTGTTCACCATGTATGATTTGAAAAGTTAAGAGTCCTTTTTTCTGTCAGTTTGATTGTGTCTTGCCTATAGCGTGGCGCAGCGAACAGACCAACGAATCAATCAGGCTTTTCGTCCAATCTCGAGAGAGCAATCTTTTATTTTCCACTCTCTTTCTCTCTCTCTCTCACTCTCTCTCTCTCTCTCTTTCTCTCTTTTTCTCTCTGTCACCGTAATTACATACTCTGAATGTTACTACTTGCGCTTGCGTTTGAGAACGTCTTGTTGCCTCCCTCTGCTTTTTTGTTCTATCCTCTCTTTTTTCTGTTCTGTTCGACGAGCCAGATTCGCCGAGGCGAGCTTGCGTCGCGTCGGTTCAATCACCGAACCAATCATCGTCAGTCTCAGACGACCCCAATTTTTCACTTCTAGACAGTGTTCTCACGATAGGAAAACCGAGTTTCCTTGATTTCGAGGCGATCAATTCGAGGCTAACGTTAATTTTCCAACGATCACACATCTACGTTGAAAAGATTCACTTTCAAATAGTCGTATTTGAATTATTGTTATTTTCTTTTTGTTGTTGTCACTATTAAGAGGTTTCACGTGCTTTCGAGAGAATTCAGGATTCGAGTGTTGAAATTTATCGAGCACGATTTTTCGTGGATTGCTTGATTAATGTTGGAGGAAAATCGCGAAGGTACGTGGAGCTTCCAGTATCGTTAAATTCCATCGTGGAGAAGTACTCGAAGATTATCACGATCATCCGTTAAGGAACTCGACGAGAGATCAAGTTAGGATCAGTTGCACGGGTAAAGAAAGAGGAAGCTACCGGTGATTTCCTTGATTAACGTCCTTCGTACTCTGGCCGTATTAAAATCGGATCGTCTTCAGCTGTCTCAGCTGAATCGATTCCGTGGATTCGGTTTAACGAGCCCGGTTGTAAGAAATGTAGGAAATTGCTGACCACGGTTAACACGAGAACGAGCAGATTTTACATTTCGTGGATGAAGGAACGTGAATAATTAAAGAACAAGAACATCATTCGTTGTGACATCAATTTTGACAACTTGGACATTTGTAGCGAACCTAACTGTTTTCTTTTTAGAGCAAACTTAAATGGAATTATTTTGAAGAAATTTCAAAGGATTAATTAGTGATAGAAAATTTCTACAAATGTCCTTCATCGTTCGATTCACGCAAAAAAGTAACGGAACACTTCAGAACTGTTGAAACATTTTCGTTCGTATTAATTTTGCCCGAAGAAACAAGCATTCTGTGAAAGCTGTTAGACTGTCCTGACGT